GAGCCCCACGGCAGCAAAAGAAGGTTTTAGCGTGATGCTCTATTTTGAATGACTTTGATAACTTTATTTTTAATCAGAAACAACAATAAATGTATCAAGTTGAAGCCATGCTTTAGACAAAAATTAAGCTTTCTTTTTCTCTCTCCTTTAATAAAAAAATGAGGAGGTAAAGAACCTGGGGCCGGGGCAGCACCTTCAAGGTGTTTTTAGCCATGGGGGTCCTTCTGGGTGATCGATCACTCTATTCTGCCCTCATGGTTTCAACATGATCACTAGAGCTCCAGCCATCAAGTTCATGTTCCAGGGAGGAAAAATTTAAAGGACAAAGAGCAAAAAGGGCAGTTGCTTTCTAACTCAATCCTCTTTAAAGAGCATTCCTGGAAGCCCCACCCAGAGACTTCTGCTTGGATCTCACTGGGCAGAACTGTGACCAAGGACTGTCCCTCCATGGGAAGGGCGTCTGGGAAATGCAGTGTTTTAACTCAGCACTTTACCACTTGAACAAAGTTGGGCTCTGTTTGTAAAGAAGAAGGGGGATTGAATATTGGGCAGAAAGAATGGATGGAAGAAGGTTTTCTTTTTTTCTCTCCTCCCTTATAGGGGCTGTTCTGGTGGTGGGTAGGCAGAGATATGATGTAACCTTCAGGAAAAGTGGATTGTTCTAATAAGAGTGGGGGGGAAGGTGAAATAAAAGTACAATACGGTTTTTAATTCTTTTTCCCCAAACCGGCTTTTCAGAATCCAAAGGTAAAACAAGACATCGTTTTCTCTTCCCACCCAGGTAGGAGGGGGGCTGGGAGCAGCGTGGAGCATGGTGGAAAAGAATAGGATGTGGAGCCTGTCGGCCTGGGGGTGCTGGGTGGACTGGGCCTGGGGAGGGCGCCACCTGGAGGCTCAGCCAACAATACTGAGTTTGCTACAATTTTAGGCATTCCCATGAGCTGTCTATTGGTCACTGTGGAGTGACTGTTCCAGGACAGCTGCCTGCTCAGGCCCCTGGAGTGTCCAGGTGCCTATCCCAACCTGAGACTGGCTGCGCCCCTTCCCAAGTGCTGCAAATGGACCCACCCCTCCCTTTCAACAGCTCTGACAATAACTCCTTTCTCAGAGAGAGGGGAGGGCCCCCAGAGCGGCAGTGGGGGTATGGAAGGTGAAGTCTGGGCTCTGGAGAGTGGTGGAGCCCCCAGCATCCCGACCCCAACACAGGCTAAGTATGAGGAGTGTCCCGTAGTCAGGGCAGCACCCAGCTAGCTCTATACCAAATGAGAGAAGTGATTAACTCACGACTTCGGGACAAAGCAGAGTGACCTTTGAATCGCCCACTCACAGGCTATGCATTTAGGATTAGTGGTATACATATACACATATATTTATACACACTGTGGCAACTCTCTTGAGCTGTTATGCAATAAAGATAAAAGGATGAAAATAGAACAGACTAAACTTATTTGATCAAACATGTCATAAGCACCCTGAAAAATTCCATGTTGACTCATGGAGAGACCCATTCAGCAGGGTGTCTCAGTAAACATGCCCAAGGCACTGAGGCCTGAGACATGGGAGGCCAGCTTGAGGGTAGTGACAGCACGACCCCAGCAAAGTGGGCAGGAGGTGGGGTGCTAAAATAGGGCTTGATGGAAGAGAATTTTGCTTGATTGGGGGTTTCAGGACTCCGCGTGCTCTGTAAAGTGGCTGCCCAGGGGATTGGCACCCTGGAGGTGAAATGATGATGGTAGAGGGCCATTCCATTCAGCTCACTACATCCTCTGGGGTAAAAGCCCTTTTTTGGTCCTTATCTCAAGGTCATCCCTGGGAGGGAGGGCAGGGAAAATGATTCATGGGCGCAGGACCGCATCTAATTTAAATCCCCAGTCACTGTGGTGAGGGGTTGATTTATTGGTTTCCGGTAACGCAGATGTGGAAACAATAGTAAAGACCACATCGATCCTCAAGACCATGTCACTAGGCACCGTTAGTGAGATGTGTGGATACAGACATAAATGATGACAAATCAGGATGCCCTCCTGGGAAGCCGCAGCCGTGCTGAGTGAATCAATTATCAGGGGCGAACTTTTCTGTGGTCTGTTGATTCTGAGAAACAGCTGGGCTCTCTGCAAACAGCGGCTGCCTCTCCTGAAATTCCTCTGCCCGACAGAGATGGCCGAGATTTTCCCACCTCAGCCAGTTGCTACCCTTCCTGCTCTCCTTCTGGGCGGAGGTGACCTGTGTGCAGGGTTGGCATCTGCCTGGCAGAGCCCTGGGGGAGAGCTACTTCGAGGAGGACGTTTCCAGATGCTGGAGTGAACCTAGCTTGTCTTCTGCCTTGCTCTTGTGTCTCCCTTCCATCTCTGGGTCACTCTGGGCTGCCCATGACTTGCTTCCGAGCCCTTTAGACACAGTGCCTTTCTGGTTTCTCGGTGCCTTCCCCCCATGTGCAGTCCCAGAGATGCCTCACGTGGTAAGGCGCCCTGCTCTCTGCTCCTCCAGCCTGCCTCCTTCCCGGGCAGCACCACACTCTCCATATTCTAGCTGCTCGAGCTGTATCCGTGCTAAGCCTCTAGCGCCTTATGAAGCCACAAAAACAAGCCGATCTCTGACCAACCAGCAGAGACCTTGCCTCCATCACATCCCAGCTTGCTCCTCTCTCCTCCCTAGTCAGCGGAAAGCTCCTGTGTTCCCAGGCTGGCTCACTGGTTGTCGTCCGGGGATGGTCCTTCCTCCGCCTGCCTCGGAACACTGGCTCTTGAGAGTCTCCCCACGGGGCTACCTTCCTTTCTTCACTGTTCATCTATCGCTTCCTTTTATGCCCTGCTCAAAATTCACCTCTTTCAGAAAGGAGGAGGATGAAAGAGGAACTGGAGGTTGGAAGGGATATTGATCAAAGCCGTGCTTATCTAAAAACAGCAGAGAGATGTGCAGATGGCTTGTCAGCAATTCCTGGATGGTTTTTTTCTTTTTTTCTTTTTTTAAGGCAGTGACTTCTCCTTGATGCTCAAAAATGAAGATTTTTTTTAAGAGACGTGCAGCAAAATTATTAAAGCTTTGCCTAGCCCCCTTCATAGAGAGGCTGTACAGCACGGGACCAATAAAACATTTTGAAATGACTTAAAAACGGAACCCTGAAAAAAAATGTATTCCACACAAATCCACCATATGACATGATTTCTTATTTTCCTCTTAAACTGTATTTTTCATTGCCGTTGATATAATTTACAGTTGTAGATTATTTTTAGTATCTGCCAGGTTCCAGGCACTTCTAGGGGTTAGGGATACATCAGTAAACAAAAGATTTTGGCTTTATCTCTGACAGAGATAAAGCTCTGTCACGAGTTTACACTCTAATTGGGGAGAGAAACACTAAACAGAAATCAGTCCACCACGTAGCGTATTACAAGCCGGTGAGCAAGCAGCGGGCGATCCAGGAGGGACAGTGACGAGGCCCACAGGGTGGTGGCGGGATTTTAAATCTGTGGTCAGAGAGCACTGGGGACCATTTGCTCATTTAGGACATGGGGTCATGCCGCGGGAGGGTGGAGGCAGGGAGCAGGCAGCACAGAGACTTCCCCAGAGCCCAGAGGGAGCTGCCAGCCCCTCGATCTAGGATTTCCAGCCTCCAGGACTGCAAGACAATTTCTGTTTTTTAAGCCCCGCGGCTTGTGGTTCTTTGTTCCGGCGCCCCAGGAAATGAGCACGGGCTCCAAGGAAAGCACCGTGGGCAACGTATCGCTGTAGACGTAGATGGAGAAAGAGAAAGCCATGAGCTGGAGGTGAGATATCCCATCAGAACCGCTTCCAGTACTGACTGCCATATCCGATCACGAACATGTGACTTTTGAAAAGAGCCTCTGAGATGATTTCTACCTGGGTCCATGTGGGCCTCATGAAAATTAGAATTTAAAACATTCTTGGTCTAGTGGTACAATTGGTACGTTAAATATTTGTTCATTGCATCATGAAGTTGACGTCTGTGCTCACACGACCACACAGATAACCTGGTGCCCAGCTTGCCTTTCGGCTTTCACAGAACAAGCTTCGGAACGAGCCGGCTCTCGAGGATCCAGAGCTGCTACAGCAAAGAGCTGGAAAACGCACCCTTTGCTGGAAGGCAGAAGAGGTTTGTGTGTCTCTGATTTTTTAGAGCTACTTAAGCGCAAGTGGCACCTGCAGATCTAAACGGGGGAGAAACGCCAGTCCGTTCACTTTTGCACACGTGGGCCAGCGGAGCAGAGCGTGTACGAAGGAAGCGAGCCAGGCCCAGGCTGAGCCGGCTCCTCCTATCTGCGTGCCGTTGAAAACACACGCGACACACACACAAAATGGTGTGTATTTAGAAAAGAGAGCACTTTATGATTAGAAAGTAATTGTTACTCCTTTTGGTGACCTATTTAATAAGAATCTTTTGAAACCCTTTGCTACTATGGGGCTTATCCGAAGCACGGCTGGGGAGGCGCTGGTACAAGAGAACATGAAATATTCACACAGGCCAGCCAGCCATGCATCCACCTCCAGACCTCTCCAGAACACGATGCCCCTGGCAGGAAGTCATCATCTCTTTGCCATCCTCATTAGCGATGAACCTGCTGTTGAAAACAAGCCCATTTAATGAGGTGTTCGTTTATTTTTGTCAGCTGCCCGTCACAGAGCCCCACTGCCGAGCCCTTTAAGAAACAGATGCTCACACACAGATGACCATCCCACAGGCACCGGGCACAAAGTCCCCAGCTGGACCCACCAGGCCATCCCAGCTCAGCCCTGGGTTGAGCGTTTGTTGTGTTTATAGACCTAACACCTCACGTAGGCAAATGGGAAAAACCGAAGAAACTGGACGTGGTGGAAACTAAGCACAAACAATGGCAAGGGGGCCGGAGGAGGAGGAGGGTGCAGCTCAGCGGTAGAGCACGTGCTTAGCAAGGACGAGGTCCTGGGTCCAGTCCCCAGTATCTCCACTTAAAAAAAGAAAGAAAGAAAACAGTG